GTGTGAACCCTTAAGAATGGTATGCAAATTTAAATATATACTAATTAGGTCACCAATAGTTTTTTAATTATCTCTCAAGGAGCTGATGACCTTTCGAAGAAATTTCAGTTGGGGGTTTAACATTCATAAATGGAAGAAAGGTATTTCGGAATATTCATCTAAGGTTATAATTATATTTATTATGTATCTTCTGCCTCTTGAATTGTAATAGTAAATCGTAACCAGAAAAATTAATTTATTACATTTATTTTATCACAACCACCAGAAATCTAGAACAAAGATTTGATCATATGATCTTGCTATAGAAAAGAAAGATGATGGAAAGTCAAATAATTATCTCATAATAAAATATGCTTACGAAAAACAGGGTCAGAGCCTTTTTGGGGAGGTTGAAATTTGAGAAATAAACGGGAAATAGCTTACTTAATCACAATGCTTGAAATAGTAGGAGTTAATTTTGTTTAAATTTTAAGCCCTTTCACAAGTGTCAAGTTCATATCTACTTGGGCCTCATCCAAACGTGCCCCTAATAATATTCCCTCCCTCCCACTCGATCTCCCCCTTCTTTCACATACTGCAAATTGATTATTTGGTTTTTAATTTGAGAGTTTAGTGAGCTATTTGCTTTAATATTTATATGATTATAATTTTATTAAAATTTGAACAAGATTACTCTTTTTTTTTACTACAGTTAGTAAATTGTTTAAAAAAGGGAAAAATGTCACGAAAAGTTATACCAAGGTTGTCATCTTTTGTTTCCAACTATATATATATATAGTAACTTTCCTGAATATATATATTGCGGGGAAGATCTTAAATTATTAGATACAATTGCGTGTTATTTGACAGTTACATCGAAATAATAATGGTTTGTTTTTAGATGTATATTCATTGATGATTTTCTTAATTTTTTTTCCACAGAAAAAATGTTACTCAATTTAGCAGGCCACTCTGAAAGAATAAATAAAAATAATGAGAATGAGCTTATATATAATTTAGATTTCAAACTTGTAATTGGAGAGAACGTAAGTTGAGGAGCAGCATATATTGCTGGACTAAATATATTACTATATATATGATCTATTATATCATTACCCAAAATATGAATTTAATTATATGAATGATTTATTTTATTGTGTTATATCATTTACGGAAGTCTTTCGTTCATTTTATTTTCTCTCGTCACTAATTTTACCCTCAAGTCTCAACTATAGAGTATTTGTGAAAGAGAATTTAACTTCAATGCTCATCCGAAAGAGAACATTGACAAAAACAAATTATTATTATTGCTTGGCGGCTACGTAGCCATGATTCATTAGGGAAAATATCAGTCCAATTTGTGCTTGTTGGAATTAGAATTGGACACTCCAAAAACACACTTATCACTGTAATTCAAAATAAAACTCTTTTTCCATACTTTCTAGTACTCCGTCAATCATAAATGAAAATTTGTTTTTGAAGAATCCTACCGATATTCCGAACAAGCATTAACACACACAGATATACGCGCGTCGTCATGTAGCTTTGTTTTAATATATATATATATATATATATATATATATCAGGAAACTTGTCCTCAAATACATGCCTTGTGCATCCCTGGTAACTTAAACAAACGAATATAATACATAGGGATCCATCTACATATCACCGGCTTAAGAATCCAGTCTGAGATATCTACGTCAGCTGACACCTATAATTAGGCCTGAAATTAAACGGCATTAATGAATGTTAAGATGCCACATTTTAATCACACAACTACATATCCTCCAGTTCATTGAAGTTCGAAGGTGGCGAATCAGTTGAGCAATAATTGGCTTCTTTTTTCTCTTGACCCTATTTTGTTGAAAAGGGATCTAGTAGTCTAGTTTTCTATTATATAGAGAGACATATATAAATGTTATATACGGATCAAGCGGGGTTTTTATGTCTCACATTATTTTGGGCTATTGAGATTTGAGTGGAAAATGCAGGGTGAGGCATCTCTAGACCCTAATTGTAGTCTAACAATATATATATATATATATATATATATTGATGATACTATTGACTAATAACTAATATGCATGCCTGCCCTCTTCATTACTTGGGTTTGCGTCAATTAATGCTTTCATCTAACTTCTGTGGAGCTGTTACAAATTTCGATTCTTTCATTTTATTTGAAAAAATACATTATTATTTCAAAAAAGATCAATTTCTCAGACGATCTAAAACTGTATAATAATATGAAGGACAAAATAATAATTCACTCAATCTTTTACGGGGAAAAAGAATATTCAAACTAAAATTGAAATAACAATTGAAGTGGACTATAATATATAGATGCCAACTTTCAAACACATGTACAAAGATGTGTGTGTGTGTGTGAGAGAGAGAGAGAGGTAGAGGTCAGAGGAATAATGACTTAATTTATGGATGTTCAGTGAGCTCGTGAGCTAGCTAGGAGCTTGTTATAATTCCCATGCAAATAAAAGTAACTATAGATTATGTATACTAATCATAATTTTAAATTATAAATAATATAAAAAACCCAGACAACCAATTTCTCTTGCTCAATCTCTGATCGATTCTCTATATATAATTACAATAAATTGGAATTCTCACGCAAGCTCATGGTGATCATTATCAGAATAATATCCCTTTATCCCCTTCTCCCTCTATACACAGTCTATACTCTACAAACAGTGAATAGTCCTATTCTACAACCCCTAAAATGAACCCAGAAACGACACTTTCAACCCATGTGCAACTGCAATACTTCACTGATACCTCTCTGTGTATAACTGACCAACCCAACTCACAACCCTAAAACAAGACAAAGCTCAGCCAATCGCCTTTATATGGCTCTTACACAGATTTAGCATCTCTTTTCCTTTTTATATACCTTTCTTTTTCCTTCTTCCTTTCATTTTCACATGCCAAGTTAAGATTGCTGAAGAACATTATTAGAAAATACAAAATAGAGAAGAGACTCCCTCAAATCATTAAAGCCATCTTCATTCTTTAGCCCATGTAAGGGAATTTAGTTGTCTGTTGAGAGCTGTGACTTAAATTCTTCGGTGTGAAAGCTCTGCTTCAGTGAGTACAAAATCCCATTTAAAGTCAAAGGGTGTCCAATCATATTACCATCCAAGGAATTTATCAGAAGGAAGTAACCAGAATGATCGCCTTGTGTCCTGCAGCGATTTAAGCGGCAGCAATTGACTACCTAAGGCTAGGGTTTTACAGGAGGGGAATCAGAGTTCACGCTTCAATATTCTCTGTAATTAATGATTTAGGATCTTTTTTTATTAGTTCTCTTCTTGAGTGATCATTTTTAGTTAGAAGGCGGTGTATAATTCTTCGCATTACCCAATGCAAAAATTTTCTTTCGGAATATTTGTCTAAAAGAATCGGACTTGAGTTGCTCAAAAGTGATATCTCTTTTGCCAACAGAGAATTATCCCTTTGGATTAATGTAGTGTTTTTTTACTAAGCAAGTAGTTTTGTACTTTATAGTGCACACCTAATACATTCATATATATGCAGAAGAAAAAACAAAAGGGGCGGAGATAGCGCCTATGAGTCGTGATGGGATAATATTCTCTTTGCTGATTATAAAAAATATCAGATTATAATAATGGGATAATGAATTTTTAAGTGGGGTTGATTCCGGAGTAGGTGGCAACTTTTGGAGGGATTTAGAAGGGAGAGGAAAAAGGTGTGAGAGAGAAGGCAAGCTTATGGATGTACTTGGGAATTAGAGATATAAAAGCTAACTGCAACAGATCTGATGATAATAATACAAAGGAAAAGGGAATCAATGTTGGGATGTATCTGACTTTATGTGGCTTTGAGAAGCTAAATCTGAGGGTTTTATGGGATAGTCTAGTGGTACTATTTGATGAGAATGTCAGTGAGGTTCTGAATGGGAAAAAGTGCTCACCATATTCCATGCTATTAGTATCAGATTATTCACCGCTTAATTAAACCTCACACATGCCCTAATCTCAATATTAAACCAACAATATTACTCACATAGACTCTCTCTCTGTGGAGTAATACATATTAGTTCTTCAAAATAATTTTAGTATCAGACAAACAGTTTCTTTGAAGATGAATTGTGTTTAAACCCCATGGAATAGTATTACTTTTACTATGTCTAAAAGGATAATCAATCATTAAAATGATAAACCGAAAACAAAAAAAGCGGGAGATAATCAATTGTTTGTTGGAATCATATTGGGAAGAACGAATTGATATACTCCATTCTCAGACTTAAACACTTGACGTTGAGACTTTGATTACACTAGCTGGATGCCCGCATGTGAGTGTATGTATATGTCCTCTCGGGTTAATTTAAAAGCCTTTTATTGATGAGGATAAAAGCACGTATCAGAAACCCTGGACTGATGCAACAATATCATCATAAATTTTCATACTTCTAGCTGGAATATGTTGTAAATCAAATAGAGGCTCTTATTTACATGATATTCTGGGAAAAATCAATATTATTGGAATCATCAATTACAATGTCAAGTATAATCTGTTTTTCGAAACAAGCCGATCGAGAGATCATCATTATTTTGGCCTCTCTATCTATGAAGTTTATATTACCGCAATACTGATATTATCACAACCTGCAGACATATATCTAAGGCCCTCATCAGGACTGATCCAATCACACTTGAACAAATTATAGCTTCACTTTCTGGTATTAAAAGAAGCAAATTAAACAGCCAACAAGAATGCACATAACAGAGAAGAAACGGAGAAAAACGAAGAAGTATGTTATCAGGAGGAGATTTTCAATTGTGTATATATGCTACTATACCTTGTGCTTGCTTTGACCCAGCCTTAGCTCCAGATCTAGCTCTTCATTGGAGCTAGGGTTAAATTCAACTGAAGAATTTGAATTTGGGAAGAGAGGAAGAATCGATGAAGTTTCGGAAGTTCTCCTCTTCTTGCAACTAATAGCTTCCTCCTTTGCCTCACTACCTCTACACACGACCAAATTTAAACTAGAAGCCAATCAGATTTTCCACTATCCTCGCACCTGCAATCCAATACCTCTGTGATCTTCTCAGCTTCAGCTTCAGCGAAGTTTGAGCGGTTCGATTTAGAAGAAGAATAGAGAGGAGAATAATTAGAAGCCACCTTATGTCCGTGGGGGGAATAATAGAAGAAGAATTGTAAGCTGGAACCATTATGGTTTCCTCAGTGTTTGACGATGGAGCTACTAAAGCCTTATTAGAAGGTGAAGCAACAAGAACAGAATTAGGGTTGTTGGTAGGAGAACAATTATTATTATACGGATATAAGAAACCCATAAGTGAAGAAGAAGTATTTGGAATTGTGTGAAGTTCATTGTTTTGGGGGCTTGAGGGTTGCTTCAGTCTGGCTCTATCCCTTCTATGAACATTCATGTGGCCTCCTAGAGCTTGTGCTGATCTGAACTCTCTTCTGCAGAAACTGCAAGTGTATGATCTGGGTGGCCATATGCATCCACCAAGAGGCCCAGAAGCATCCTCCGCGAAAGCTTGCTCTTCCCATGACGAATCATCATAAGAAGAAGAGGGTTTTGTTGATGATGAAGTGATGAGATTACAAGAGCTCAAAGAGTACTTCCTCTTCGTCCACATCCAGAATTGACCTTGTTCCATTATGCCCCAAGAAACGAGAAGGATAATCTAAAGGTAGAATATTGATGACGGATATGATTGTGGATATACTTTCCTACATCAAAGTGGAGAATTTAAAGCTATAAGTAGGTATCGAAAATATATGGGGAGACATAGATAGATATATGGCTTGGAGGGAATTTTTTGTATGGAAGGTGAAGTGGTGGGTACTCTAACTTGTCTGTCTCAGAGTATAGCTAACTTTTTTGGGGGCTTTGTGGTTGGCTTCTGAGCACACAGTTTCAATACACCAAGATATGAATATACTGACTGCTTTCTCCATTTTTCATGCTTTCTGAGAGAGAAGCAAAGAAACTCAAGAGAAGACAAAATTCTAAGCAAATATATTTTCCCCTTGGTTCATTTAACTTTGACTGAGGTTAAAACTTGAATCTCTTAATTCCTGGACGGGAACGGAATATTATATTTTTATGACTCGATTGATTTTTTTTTTCAAAACAAAAAAATATTTCACATATCATGACGAGCATCTAACCAAGTCCAACTTTACTGAAGTATTGTCTGATTAAAAATGGCTTAGAAAATTAGTGAGGTGGGGTCCAGAGATCGAAATGTATTGGACTTGGAGAATGTGAGATGGCCACATCGTACAGAGACTTACTAGTGAACAAATCCGACTGATATATCTCCGCAGAGAGATCCAGCACAGAGGTGTCATTTTGGTTTTAATTGTCCAGAACAGATGGATCGATCAGTCTTTTAAAATTATATTACAACCACCACCAGTATTTTTTTATTTTCTCCGGACAGATAAGCTATTTTTTAAAAATTTTCTGGGATTCAATCTCGCATATTTTCAATGTTATGAAACTAAGTGGGATATTGGAACTTATTGGTAAATTATTACAAGAATTCTTACACAACCACACACTGCTAGTTGTTAACATGAGTAATTAATCATTATGGAACTTGAGGATACACACACACACGCATTCATATATATGGAGCAAGTATCCATCAATTAGTGCTCAATTTATGAAATGCAATAATTTTTCTACCTACGTTAAACACACCAGCACACAGACGATTGATTAGTCCTCATCAGAAGCCACATTTTCAGGCTTGTTTTATAAAAAAATTATTAAATTTGTACAATGTATTTGTAAAATCATTGCGTGCGTACGTGCATAATGTAACGTTTATACTGCAGCTAATCTGTAATATATTACAGCAAGCTAACGACGCTTTTTCCAAATTAAATTCATTGTGTTTATAGTTTAGTTTATTGCCCACATACATAAATTGAAATTTTTATTTTTGACTTAAAAATTTTACTTTTGGCTTAAAAAAAATTAAAAAAGTGTAACATTAAGTCATGAAAAATAATGTTTAATCAAACTCATGTACTACTTGACGTCCTAAATATGAGGTCTAGTTGACTAATTTAAGTAGATTAAAAAAATAAGTTAGGTTAGTTATTTGTAATAAATAGATATTATCTTTTCTAAAATATTCTTGCTAATTAAGTGTATTGGCTAAAATTACCATTATTAGAAGGATTACTTTGGAAAAAAAAAACACAAATATGAGAGATAAAGTGGATTGAGGTCTTATATTTAGGACCAAAATAAAAATCAAACGATGTTTTATATTAAGTACCGAAGGTAACATGACAATGTTAGGTTTTAGTTAATTCTGGTCTGTAATCCTGGTTTCGTTTAACAGCGCTGAACACAAAATGAAAAAGAATTTTGAGTCATGATTTAATTTTTCAGTACATTACAATTACTTTAATTTTCTTTTCTTTTTGTTGTATTGTTAGGGAGAAATATTCGGTGGATCCATCTATCTCAATTATTTTGTATTAATAAGCCAAATCGTGCGTCAAAATAATTGTTTGATAGCAAAACTATAATACATGAAAGAGTACTAGGGCAAATATTTTAAAGGAAAAAGAAATTAAGACAACAAGACCAGCAAGGCCTGAGATTTTTCTTAAAAATTAAAAGTAGATTAAATATTTCATTTGTTTTTATGTAGTGGATTTAGGAATCTTGAACCTCGCAAAAAGAATTATTTCAATAATTATGGATGTCAAATTATCAAAACTTTATGAATAAAAACTCAATCTAAATACAAAAAAGTGATGAGAAAATGTGCCAAATAAGCTCAGAAAGAAACTAATGCCTTTTTCATTTTCATCAAGATGATGCATGCGAATGCCTTTTTTCTCTGTTTTTTCCTCATTCTTTTCAACTTCAGAAAGAAACTCTCAAAAGTTGTAATTGGATTCTAGTTCTTGTATTCCATATGCGGTCCAAAGAGAGGCAAGAGTTGAAAGTTCTGAAACTTTGAATATTTGAAATTCTATTTTCTTCGGAAAAGAAGAAGCCAATCATCATCAAATTGCGTGCATGTTTCATGTTCGTTTTGTTAATTCAATATGAGTGCTATACTTTGACTGCTTTTCTTCCCACTTTTCCCTCTCAATTCAGCGTGTCAATGTGTACCATATATATCCAAGTTCTGGCTTGTAATTATCGGTCACATTTAATATTTGATCAAACTGACTAATATCTTCATTATTTTGATAGCGATCTATAAATTTGCACTGTTTATAAAACAGGAAAAATATATATTATTTTTTTAGACCAGCAATAATGCATGACGCCTTTGTCTAATTTAAAAAGATTATGCTTTTAACTACGTATATATGACACGATAATGGTATTAAACAATATCTAAAGTGTTATGCATTCAATATATAAAAAAAGCTTAATATATGAATTTCACATTAAAACATTTTACCCACATGGATTTCTTTTCTCAACTGGTATGTGTTTAATTCCCTATTGAAAGTTTAAACATTGGCTTAAAAAAAAAAATCTATTGAAACTTGGCAGAACTCAGGAAGGACGTCAAATCAATAGTAGTTGTTGAGGCAAAATGGTACTAAACCTCCTCTATTCTATGCGGGAAAAGAGATCATAATGATAATAACATTAATTAAATAGTTACTTGATTAGTAGAAATTAAATGAAACAGTGAAAGACACAACATCCTTCTCAATCACTTCTTGTAGGTAAACATCCCTCATGAGTAGGTAAACATTACCAAATGGTAGGTCTAATTGACTGCCACATATGGTCCCCGGCGAAGAGAAACCAACACGAAGTAACTATCGAATTTAAAAAAAATAAATTAACAATGATAACAGTAATTAATAACTTCAATAATAATATGGAATATTTACACTTGAACTTCTAGATTAACTACTTTTATTGTCACTATTAATTACCTTGCCTAATTCTTAGTTGTTTTAAGATTTGAAAGTATCGTACAATAATTAAATATTCACAAATGACAGGGCTTTTGTCATTGCAACCACATGTAAACTTCTTTATTTGAATATATGATTATTTTTTTCCATAAAAAAATTGACTACTATGTACTCCCGGAAGTCCAGAATAATTTAATTATTAGCTAACTAGCTACTTGCTTCGTAGTTAATAATTTGAGGTGTATATCTATTGTTATAATTGTTATAATTTTATTTTAAAGGACAGAATATATACTAGACAAGAGAAAAGACATATGTACACCTGCTTCTTATAGAATATAATTATACTCTACATGGACAGAGCTTATTCTATTATATCATTCTGATAATTTCACTTAATTCGATTGTCCTCTTCTTAGAAGTCCAAGATATGTTGCTTCAAATGTCTTCATTCTCTCTACTTGAGTTTTCTTTTATGAAGTTCCTTTTGATTTAAGGCTCTTCTTTCTTGTTCTCTACAAAATCTCTCTCTCTCTCTCTCTCTCTCACGCACACTCGCACACACACAGATTAAAATAAAGGGAAATATATATTAACCAGGGATTGAGAATAATTGTGCATGATATGACACTTGCCGCCCTTTTCTGTAATTTCACTGATAGGGTATATGTTTGAATTATTCAAAGATTTCTTTATTTTCTTGTTGTGACAGTTTATCGATCAAAACGATCATCATTCTGTGTTCTAACATTTTATAAGCAAGAAAATGTTTTGAGTCTGCACATATGTTCAGAGTCTTAGCGTCTACGATAAAAGAAAATATAGTTTCGTGGAAATACTGTGTCGGTAGCTAGGGTCATTATCTTAATTAATGATAAGAACAATTATACAAAAGTAATATATGGAAAACAATAGAAAGACAAATAAAGGAGCAACTAGTGCTTTATTTTAATGCAACCTTATGTTCATTTGCAAGATATGCGCCTCTGATAGTGTTTTTAATCAGTATTTTAACAGAAGCAAATTAATTAAATAATTCATGCAAGAAGAGATGACGTTGTTTATTAGTATGAATTTAATTTAAGTATGAAAGGATGACTAAATAATCTTAATATTCTTTTCATGACTATTGTCCTAGTTATAGTAGTAACCCTCTGTGATGTTCTATTTGAGGATTGCAGCGATTATCTTATTTATTTTAATCACTAGCTAGACAAGTCTCCTATACTAGTGACTTAAAAGTTTCATAATTGATATTAATGATCGAGGAAGATATAATTTTTTTTAATAAATTTACATTTGAAATCGCACTGCATGAAACGGTTAGTTTCTTTGGAAAATCCCTCACAAAATAATACCAGAAAAAGATCTTCACAATTTTTTTTCTGGTTCCAAGTTCTTTTTCGCTAGGAAAATTCAAAGGGGAAATTTGGGGTGTGTTTGGTTTCCTGTTTTAAAAACAAATTTTTGTTTTTAAAAATATAAAAACAAAAAAATTATTTGGTGATTTGTTTTTAGTTACTTGTTTTAAAAAACAAAAAACAGTAACATGTTTTTTAAAAACTAAAAGACCAAAACAACTTTCACATATTTTGTTATTTTTGTTTTTGTGTTTTTTACTTTTTGTTTTAAAAAATTTTAAGAAATCTTCTTCTTTTCTCACCTACTATCCACCACTTATCATTACTAGCCATAATTATCACCTACCAAGTGTGATTTTCTATGATTTTTTTTTTCAAACGTGATTTTTAAAATTATTA